AAACAAGCAAGAGAGGGCGTCTCCATCTGAGTGTAAACTGTAAATTCAAGTGGCATAATAAATACAAATATTGCACTCACTAGATACAGGTTGGCAGTACGCATATCATCCTAAAAATGTGGGCATCCAAGGAGCTGCAGAGATCTGCAGGCAAGTAGCTGATGTAGGCAGAGTAGTGCTGGGAATAGGCTGGGTGTCATTCTGTTAGCAGCTAAATGGAAGAACGCAAAAACTGCTGTCATTCTAGGAGCTGGAACACAAGCCAGATCATCTGTGAAGAGGCTGCTTCAGGGTCTGTCGTTTGGCAAAAATCAGCTGAGTTCGGCTCTCTTCGGGATAATGTCACTGCATACAGGGGGTGGTCTGTGTAAAAATTGAATTATTACTGTTGTCTAATGATTAGTGATTAGATCAGTCAGATAGTGTTGTAGACATTTGCCCCAGTTCTTGTCAGTTAATGAAACTACATCTGCCTACCGACATTGGAGAAGTACAGTGTCACGTACCTGGTGGGGGAGCCTGAAGTGAAGATGAGGGTGTCCTCTTACACCTCCTGCTTGGTGCTTCTGATAGAGTAGACATAGAGCATGAGAGCCAGGAGTGACACGAGTGCCTGGCAAGTCTGTGATGTCAGCCGACAAGTGGGTAGTCCGGATGACCAGGATGCAGGTTTATGTGCATTTGCGTTTAGAAAGATGTTTTAAAGATAAACACAGGAGAACCTCCCAAATGCCCAGGATGCACTGAAAAGTGGTAACTTAATTACTATTTCAGACTGTTTCAGAGAAAAACAGAGAGTAGAAGCAGAGACAGCAGTGTGTGTTGAGATTAGTTTAGGTGTGAGTTGCTCATTAACATTTCTTTTGTTTCCAGGGGTGGGAAAGGTGTCTGGTGGAGTGAGTCATTAAGGTCCTCCTGGCAAGCAGTCTTCATGAGGAATTTGAGGTGTGAATGTCCATTAACATATCTTTTGTTTCCAAGGGTGGGAGAGGTCTGAGGTGTGAATTGGTCATTACAATGTGTGACAAGTTTGGTAGGAACATCCTATATACAGTACATACACAAAAGCAGTTTTTGCATATCCCAGAAAGGTTTGGTAGAGGAGTGAAAAAAAAAGTAGCTGACCAGTACCAAGAGCAAAAAAAGATAAACAAAATAAACTGAATATAATATACCCCCCCACCCTGTCCAACCCCTTAAAACAAACTGAACAGAATACCCCCCCACACACCCTGTCCATCCCCCCCAAAAACTTAAGTGAACTTAAAGTCCCAAACAAACCATGATATAAAACCATGAGCAGAAAGCTAATTGGGAAAACATCAGATTGGGGCACATCAGAGATGCTGCCTTTAAGTATAGACAAAGGTGTGGGTCTTTCCGTAAAAAACTGGATAGTTCAAAGCAATCAGAAGGCAAAGAGTCAAGGTACGTTTACACATGGTTGTAGATGACCTCATGACAGCAGCAGCCCAGCAACTCAAGAGACCTTTGAATACATCAGAGGACTAGTGCCAAAAAAAGGCAGCCAGCCTTACATCCTATACGTTGTTTGCAACCAGGATGAGGTGTCTTCAGGGGAGGAAAAGAAGTGCACAGTTCTGTCATCCAAACACAAAGCTTGGCTGAAAAATATGGTATGTCTTTTGTGCATTGTTTTGCCGGAATCCATCAAAAGACTGTCAGAGGTGACAGAAAAATCTGGAAAGATCAGGAGCTTTGCATTATCATGCCAAAGTTCTTCCTTCATGCTAGCTTCTCTGAGCACCAAGCCTTGATCCATAAAATGAAGAAGTTTAATTATAAAGGTATAAGGGGGTGCCCCAGGAGGACCATGTGCGGCAAGCATAAGGTGTGCTTGTTCCACAGCAAAGAACTCTGAAAATCTGGCTTGCGCCAAGAGGGTTTTGAGTGGATTTTTAGTGAACAGGGTGATATGGTTGCCCTGTACCCTCTCTGACAGGCCCACAATGCAGAGGTTATTCCACCTATTTCTGTCTTCTGCATTCTCCGCCTGCATCTCCAGTGCCTTAACTTTTGTTTGTGAGGTACATAGAGTAGCAGTGTGATCAATGAGAATGTCTTCAGACATACTCATGCATTGCTTTGCCATTGATAACCACTCTCAGAAGACATCAAAGTCTCTACAGATTAACCCATTGTCCATTTGGATATATTTGATTTTAGTAGTAACAGTAGTCTGATATTCAGATATAGCTGCCAGCACCTCAGCAAGTTTGGATGGTGCTGTTGTCAAGGAGTCAGTGGACTCTATCTGTGTCACCATATCTGGGCCAGCAAGTGATTGTGCATAATAATAATGTAGTTCTACAATGATCCAATAACAAAGTACTGTATGTAGTGCAGCACTACCCTCATAAAACTCAATTCACAGCAAAAGGTTTAAATAATCAACTTATATAAAACAATCTAAAGAAATACTGCTGCAGGATGATATGTGTAAAGGGGCAGGGTCTGCAATTTTAAATCCGCCATCACGTTATTGGGTGCTTGGGATCCATGAGTATAGTGTGTAATTGGTGCCATCTGTTTGGTTCATATCTGTTAGATTGGTTTAACATGTACTTTTACTACTCCTGCTTGTGAGTGTGTTTATTTTGTATTATTGCAAAACAAAGCATTCAGAGAACACTATGAAAGTTTTTTTTTCTTTCATATGGATGCTTACGTGGTGATTAGTATTGTGCAGTATCTTTGCTCTGGAAGGTCCCAAAACAACTTTTGATCCGGATGACTGAGCAGTATTTCATCCCTGTGGAGATACAAATGTGTTAGACCTCATTTCCTTGTAGACTTCATATTATGAAGGTGAGTAGGTTGGAGTGAAACTGGTGATTTGGCTGCACTTCACAGTGTATAATTTAACCACTTGCCTACAGGGCACTTTCACCCCTTTCCTGCCCAGGCCAATTTTCAGCTTTCAGCACTGTCACACTTTGAACAATTGCACGATCATGCAACACTATACCCATATTAAATTTTTATCATTTTTTTTCACACAAATAGAGATTTCTTTGGTGATATTTTATCACCACTGGGTTTTTTTTTTTGCGAAATAAGCAACAAAAGAACACACATTTTGAAAAAAAAGTGTTTTCTTCTGTTATAAAATTTTAAAACTTAAAATAACCTTTTTTCATAAATTTAGGCCAAACTGTGTTCTGCTGAATTTCTTTGGTGAAAATCAGTGTTTACTATCCACAAACTATAGTACATATCTGAACATCGATCAATCCTGATGTACTGACAGCCTCATTTTATGAGGCCCCACATTTTTCACATAATGTTACCAGTATAGTGCTGCATCATCATATAACTATTGTGGGGCACTGACTGGTGACAGTATGTAAAAACAAAATTATAAAAATATAGATTGTTTTAAAGCAGAGCAATATAGTATTACTATAGAAACCATGTACTACTCTGGGAAACTGATCAGAATTTTTCTTTTTACACATTAGGATTGCTGATAACAATGAATTTCACTGGTATAAAACAACCATTTTTACTGAATTAAATTGATTAATTCAGTGTGTATTGCTGTGATTAACAGCTAATCACATGGTACAGATGGGCTGTGATCAACCCTGTCTGTACCATGTGATCACTGTGACCAATAAAAGCTAGCAATATAATTGTACACAATGAATGGCATGACTCAAAGCCATGCATTGCTTACAATTGTCATGTGATCTTTTGTGATTGGTCACAGCGATCACATGGTACCGGCAGTGGTCCAGTAAGTGATCTATCAACAGCTGTGTCAAGTGTACACAGCTGGTACAGATCATGCCTGTCATTTTTTTTCAATAGGCTGGGCGTGGTTAAAGGAGTATGCATACCTTGTGAACTAACAGTTTGTAATTTAAAGGAATATGCACACCATGTGGACTCACCTGGATTGGGACTTTATTATTTTGTTGTGCACATACAGTATATCTGTGGAGTGTTCACATTATTTTAGTTATTTAACACTTCATCCATCCATTCAATTCATCCTTCATTCCATTATGATGTCTTGCGTGAAATTTCTAATCTACGGTAAGTAAGATTTGAGAAGTGAGAGTACTCACCTGTGTTGTTCCATTATTAATTGCTGCATACAGTATGTGTCCTACGTTGAGCATAATGGACTCAGGGAAACTGTGCACTCTTAAAATTATAACTGACTGGACTGGATTTGTTTTTGAGATCTGTGATTTTTGAATTAGCATCCTTTAGATAGAGGTCTAGTATTCTGTTTGAATTTTGGCTGACATGAAAGATTGTTTAGTCAACCTTCTTTTCAAGTAATTCATTGTGTTCCCCAAGGTATTTTATGTTGTGTTTGATTTATCCCTGAAATTAACTTTAGTTATGCATACTTTCAAATACAGTGTGCGTTTGAAGCATAAATGAGAAAAAAAAAAGCTAAGCTGAATGTAAAAACATTTTATTTCATTTTGGATAGTGCACAAATGCATTAAAGCCTGTGTCTGGTTTATATTGTCCTCTGTATACCTATTGGAGGAAATTCCCCTCATTTCTTGTCAGGAGGGGACAGACAAAAACACATTTTAGTACAGTCAGAGGAGAGTAAAACATTTGAAAATGTTTTATTGCCTTTCTGTCCTATTGAAAACCACACTACCCATTTGTCACATGCAAGTGACAAAAAGTAAGGCAATATCTGCCCAGTAGGATTGCAGACAGAATAACAACCTGACGAAAGCTTTTACTTTTCCCAAATTCTATCTAAAACTAAAAAAAAAGAGCTGGAGTTGGTCTTTAACCACCTCCCGCCTGCCGCATAGGCAAATGACGGATGAGCAGGAGCTCTCTTGTTCTGGAAGGACATCATATGATGTCCTCACACTCTAGCTGCACAAGCACACCCGTCAGGGCTCGAGACTTGGTGATCAGTGGTGCGCTGTGTCCCTAGGACACAGCGGATCACAGATTGTGATAAAGAGCCGATGACGTAGGCTCTACCATGTGATCAGCTGTGTCCAATCACAGCTGATCACATGTAAACAGGAAATGCCGGTTACCGGCAGTGCTCTCATCACGCTGATAGCACATGAGGAGAGGAGAGCCGGTAAGTGGCATTCCTCAGAGGGGACATCTACACTGATAGTCATCAATGCCCTGATTTTCAGTGCAGCCCCATAAGTGCTGCCTTTCAGTGCCCATCATTGTCACGGATTAGTGCCCATCAATGCCAAATATCGGTGTCCATCAATGCCACATATCAGTGCCCCTTAGAGCTGCCTTTCAGTGCCCATGTGGGATGCCTGTCACCTATAAGTGTCAATCACTGCTGTCTATCAGTGCCCATCACTGCTGCCTATCAGTGTCATCTATCATTGCCAGTCAGTGCCCATCAGTGCCACCTATCAGTGCCACATATCAGTGTCTGTCAGTACCCATCAGTGCCATCTATCAGTGCTGGCTATCAGTGCTGCTTATCAGTGCCCATCAGTGCTGCCTATCAGTTCAGCCTCATCAGCACACATAGGAGAAGGAGAAAAATAGCTTATTTACAAAATTTATAACAGAAACTAAAAATGAAAACTTTTTTTTTTCAGAATTTTGTCTTTTTTAGTTTGTTTAGCAAAAAATAAAACCTTAGTGGTTATTAAATACCACCAAAAGAAATCTCTATCGGTCTTATAAAAATGATAAAAATTTGGTTTGGGTACAGTGCTGCATGACCGCGCAATTGTCATTCAAAGTTTGACAGCACTGAAAGCTGAAAATCGGCCTGCGCAGGAACGGGATTGTCTGGTAGCCAAGTGGTTAATCTGGCTATATTGATTTCCATAAGTAATTACCCCTGTGGACTTTTATATTTTGCAGTGCTAAATGCAGTGCTATGGAATTAAAATCGATTTGAATTATTATTATAATTATTTATAATTATTATTTTATGCCATGATCTATTGTACAAAAATCTAATGTTGTAACATAATGTTAAACCTTAAGTGTATGTCAAACCAATAAATAAAAGCTTTGCAATACATCTCCAGCACATGCACATTTTCCTGTGTTTTATTCGTGCAAGATATGCCAGGAAATGCACAGTTTCTAAGCCCTGCCATTGGCTGATAACACTCAGCTAGGAATGAGCTGATAGGGGTTAATTTATAAAACTGGAGAATGCAAAATCTGGTGCAGTGCTGCATAGAAACCAATCTGCTTCCAGGTATTAGTAAATCAGTAAATCAGGTTTTAGTAAATCAACCCTCATTTCACCTGTTAGAAGCACTGGAGAATTCTTACACATTTTTTGCTATAAAACCTTCAGAGAATATGGACCACCTCCTTCTCTGTTGTCTTTCCCCATGTTCCACTCCTTCTTTTTCAGCTTTGCATCTGAGTTTTCAGTGATCTTTGTCTTTGATCTTTTCTGCATCCTCTCTTCCTTTTCCCCATGGTAATCAATGTAGTCCTACTCCTCAATCACTGTTTTTCCTCTTCTGCCCAGTGTCCTCAGAGTCTTCCTCATATGTTCCAGGTCTGCTATTTGCCCTAGCTCTGCTCTGTTATATCATATCTCTCCCTATGGACTTTCCTATACTTTTACCTCTAGCGTGACTGCTCTTCTCGATTATCACCTGTTTAAAAGTGTTTGGTCTTCCAACGTAGAGTCAATAGATGAGTCTGCTGTAGACACATCAATGAAATGTCTTGGGGCCCTCAATTCATGTCCACGCTCCTCTTTTATGGCAGCTAGTACTGAGGGAGAGCTCAAGATTTTACAGCTTTCACTGGAACCAAAGTAATGGAGACAACTTCTAATGTGGAAACATTTTCTGGTGACAAATATCCCTAACATTGGAGAGGTTTCCTCTCATATTCTGTTGTGTCTCCAGAAGAGGAAAGAAAAGGGAATACTCCTCAATGAGCAGAGAACATGAGCTGACATGCTTTAACCAATCCCTACTCTGTCCAAGCTAAAGAAAAAGGTTTTGGAAATCTCTTGTTTCCTCCACTCCCCCCTACATACACGGTCTGTATTTATATTAAAAATAAAACACTGTTTTGTCTCAATTTGTATAATGTATAGAGTAACTGTGTCCATGTTTGTTTCAATACTATCATATTTGTAAAAAATGTAACCATGTTTTGACATGCTTTTTTTCCCCTAAAGTTAAATTGGAGCTATTGTTAGATGTTGAAAATTGCTTTCAGTGGGGTTGTGGCATGTTCCATATATAGAATGATTTTTTTCATTCAATCTTTTACAAAATTGGAGTGTGGGGGACAAAGCCTAACCATGAAATACCTTTGTCCATTTATGCTGATGTGAGGATAGTTGGGTAAAGAAAAATTACAGTAGGAAATAACACCATCTTGAAAAGTAACAGGAGCCAAGGCCTCCCCAGCCAGTATGACAGAATTAGTATGGCTTGAACCTGTTCTGCTTGAATTTTCAGAAGAACTTTCATAATTAAGGGCACTGGTGGGAAGGCATGGACAAACAGAAAGCTCCATGGTAATGTGAACACATCTTGAACGCCTCCTTGCACTTGTATCTTGTTGCAAATATAGGTAGATGTGCTGTCAGTGGATTTGCCATCAAATCAATAGTTGGAGTCCCCTTTAGGGCTAATATTGGCTTAGGATATCTCTTGTTGAGTGCCTATTCACTCAGTGGCATCTGATGTCAGAACAATCCAGTCTTCTGGGCTGAGTGTCATGCCCTGAGAGAGGAACACTGGTGAGGTCACCCATTTCAAGTCTTGTTGAAAATGTTCTGATGCATGGACAGTCCGTCCCATCTAGTGAGGAAAACAACTTTAAATGCCCTCATTTTTCCTGTGCTGTAATAATTCGTGTAGATTCTACATACTTTTTTAAGGCTGTCTCCACATTAGCAACCCATGCCTTTAAACGCTTTCAAAACAGAAGTTTATACAATTCCTGGCTGACATGCAAAACATGTCACTGTATAGATTCTCTCTAAGTCTGTGTTCACTCTATGATCCATGGCATCTTTAAAAATAACTGAATTATCCAAAGGCAGGGACATGTGCCATGCCATGTGTTGGATAGCCACATCCACACTTGGAGGAGTATCCCACAAGACCTTATCGGCAACTTTAATAGGGTAAAGTTTAGATAATCCATTTTGTATATTAGCCTTTTTCTCAGATCTCTTACACTCTTCTTCTATTAGATTTCTAATCTCCATTATTAAGACAAACGTAGGTCCCTCTTTCTTTAAATTTGGGAAATATTTTTGGTGGTTCACCTTCTTAACAGCAGTAACGAATGGGTCAATTAGATTAAATTGAAGGAATGTGTGCAAATGTCTTCTGCCTCTCATGACAGAACTGAAAGCAGCATATTGGCTTTGTTTCATCTGAACTCTGAACTGTTTTCTAGGCTCTTTATTATTCGTCTTCTCCAGAGACTGAAAGTAATGAGACTTGTGCTTTCTAGAGTGTTTACGTTTAGGGCTTCTACTCCAAAAGATAAAACAGATACCATGAGATGTAGACCGAATAAGCACTCTTTTTCAAAAAACATGTTCCACTTTGCCCACTCTTACCTTTTCCTAGACTTCAGTGCCTCTGACAGATGTGGCAAGTTCATATCTAGAAAACAAACACATAAACAACCATCATTAGTACCGCCGCAAAAAATGTTTTGAACAAAATTGTATTAAAGTTCAAGCAATAATTCTTAAATAGTTTCTTGGAACAAGGCCCAATACTTCATATAGATATGGCAGAAAAGCTTCATTTGTTGTATATGCGTACATTGTCTTTTTTTAATCCCTTAGGTTTGGGCTTGATTGATTTCTTATTTGTGTTATACAGTAACTGAATCTTTCAGCAGTTGTCTCTTCAACTGTGTCTCTGTTTACTATATAATCATTTCATTATTGATTAATATCCATATCACATTTTAAGTGTCTGTTATCATTTTTAATTTTCTTTCAACGAAAAACCTGCACCATTTTCTAAAATGACCCTGTTAATAAACAGCACACATTTCTTGCCCTAAATAAATTACTTACAACTTAGCATTATGTATCAATATATGGAAGCATGAACAAACAGATCATTCATTTACAAATATGTCTCTTTCAAAGATGTGTGCTCTTAAGACAATATTGTCCTCTTTAAAGGAAACAAATATGCATAATGAACATATCCACTGGTAAACTTTTTTTTCCCTCTAAAAACAAGCAAATAACCACTTAAGTTTTGGAAGTTTTTACCCCCTTCATGACCAGGCCATTTTTTGCAACTTGAACTGGCAACACTGTACCCAAATGAAATTTATATAATTTTTTTCACACAAATAGAGCTTTCTTTGGGTGGCATTTGTTAATCATTAGATGTTTTATTTTTTATTATATAAACAAACATTTTGAAATAAAAAAACAATATGTTCTACTTTCTGTTATAAAACATATCCAATAAAAAAAAATCTTATTTCTTCATAAGTTTCAGCCAAAATGTATTCTGTTACATGTCTTTGTTAAAAAATGCCAGTAAATGTATATTGATTGGTTTGTGTGAAAGTTATAGGGTCTACAAACTATGCTATACAGTATATTTGCAAACTGATCAATTCTAATGTACTGACAGCGAATCTAATTTCCTGAGGCCCTAAAACAGAATAGTACAATTACTACCCAAATTACCCCTGTTTTGAAAATAGACAGCCTGAGGTATTTAGTAGGAGGCAGGGTAAGTTTTTTAAAGTTGTAATTTTTTGTCACAGTTTTTTTGGAAATAAAGAATTTTTTTTTTCTTTTACAATTTTTTTTTTAACATTGTCATCATAAAATGGCGTGGCAGTGAACAGGAATACTAACTAGTGACAGTATGCAAAAAGGAAAAAACTTTTAAAAAGTTAATAATTTTTATTATTTTTTTTTTACAGTTTTTTTTTTTTTTTTTTTTACTTTTTTTTATACTTTTATCAGGGTAGTTTAGTGTCACCAAGCTCACAGTGTTACTGTACTACTCTGGGGGTAGGGGGGTGATCATGGATTTTTTTTTTTTTTTACACTTTAATTTAACATTTTGAACTGTCATGAATGAGTTACATTCATGACAGCTGTGATTTTACTATTGTGATCTGTGATTGGCCCAAAGCTATCACATGGTACATAGATGTGGGCCAATCACAGCTGTTATTAATAGAATTTATTCATATCAGCTTTGTTCCTTGTGATCATGTGGGCACAGACAACAGCAACCATGAGGACACAGCAGTTGCAGGAGCAGCACGCTAGGAAGGGGGCCTGCAAGTGTGCTTGTGCTGAGCGACATACGGGTACGTCACTTATACTGTAGCTGCCGCCTGTCTGCAGTATATGTAATGCAGCTGGTCGGCAACTGGATAATATAAAACCTTACTACAA